GACCATGAGGTGTAGAAGGAATCAGATACCAGGCATCAAAGAACAAAAAATCATATCATTGTAAATGGGGGTGGGGTGCAGAGTGGAGACCCAAAGTCCATCTGTAGGCAACTAGTTGGACACCCCTTTACAGAAGGGCCATGGGGAAGAGACGAGCTAGTCATGGTGCAGGGTAGCAACAATGTAACATACTACTTTCCTCTAGTTCTTAAATGCTTCCTCTCCCCCCCCATTATCATGATCCCAATTCTACCTTACAAATCCGGCTAGACTAGAGGATGTACACTGGTACAGATAGGTCTGGAAATACAGGGAATCCAGGATGGATGATCCCTTCAGGACCAGTGGTGAGAGTGGCGATACTGGGAGGTTCGAGCAAAGGTCGGGTAGAAAGGGGGAACCTATTACAAGGATCTACATATAATCTCCTCTCTGGGGACAGGCAACAGAAAAGTAGGTGAAGGGAAAAATTGGACAGTATAAGATATGATAAAAATTTATAAATTATCAAGGGTTCATGAGGGAGTGGGGAGTGGGGAGGGAGGGGGGAAATGAGGAGCAGATACCAAGGGCTCAAGTAAAAAGCAAATGTTTTGAAAATGATGATGGCAACAAATGTACAAATGTGCTTGACACAATGGATGTATGTATGGATTCTGATAAGAGTTGTACAAGCCCCCAATAAAATGATTTAAAAACAAAACAAAACAAATCAAGCTCAAAGTCTATCTAAAGGGAGATCAAATGACAAGGTTTTAACCATTCAAATCTGGTTGATCATTTAATCAACAATTGTCTCTCCAATACTCTCTGATAATCAAGTTATTCCCATCCCTCATTTATGGTGAGAGAGGAATCACTGGAGGTTTATTCCATGTGTAGATCTTGTAAATGTATTATGGGCTTCCACTGTCATCCAAAGCATTCTGCAAACCAGAATTTCACAGTTTAAGCTCTGATACCATTCCCTCCTTCAGATTTAGATTATATCATCTGCAATCCTTGGATCACAGATGTTGGTGTGCTTTTTCCACGTGGGCTTAGTTGAATTCTCACTTAGATGGCTGTGTGTTTTAAAACAAGATGCTATTTTTCAGATAGCCAGACACCATCAAATTTATTCACCATACTTTGCTATAACAACCATATCTTCCAGGTTTCCTTCATAAGGGTGAGTGCGATCTGTCGACAGGTGGACTAACATTTACTTACTACTTCAAGCCCCTACTTGCTTTATTAAGCTATGTAGTATTCTGGTAGAGCTGTGCCTGATATTGTCAGTAGATATTATTGTAAGTTTTGCTTGACTACCAACTCCCATTTTTGTAAAAATAATGCCCAGTCATATAAGGGCTTAATTTGTTCAAGTCAATAATCCATGTATTAAGATTTGTAGTTAGCCTACACTTGTTTAATCTCCCTTTCTCAACTGTGTTCTAAATACATTATCATGGACCAAATCAATGACACTATAAACAGAAGGACCTTATACTCCAAGTAGATAATTGAAAAGATTCTCTACCATAAAATGATATAGATGTCTCTATGATAAACCAGAGGGCAGATAGAAAACAGAGATTTAGGAATGGAGTTTGGGCTTGTACTTGTAACCTACCTCCAATCTAAGAACAATTAATTCTTACAACATGTTCCTGCTCGATACTCGCCCTCATGATGGAAACATGGAAAATATGGCTGCTATAGCATTGATATATAGGCTATGAAATATTTCATAGCTGGTTTTTTTTTCAGATTTAGTACAATTTCTTAAAGTTTTTTAATGCAAACAATTTATTACCATTTCTTTCCTTTAGTGCATCTGCATTAAGGCTTTGAATTATTTGACCCAAGATTTTACAATATTAAAATCTGACTCGATTTACAATGTTAAAACAAATAGGTCCACAACCATACTACCGACCGTGTCTCACTGAGACTCAGCGTAGAGTTAAAGCTCAACACCTTAAGCAAATGGTAGCAGAGACATATGCTAATAGCTAAGAAGTTACATATATAGTTTTTAATTAAAGGATGCATAATAAAACAAAGTGTAGTGGCACGAAATTGGTGCTAATAAACAAGGTTTCTTTGTAAAAGAAATGGTAACATCCTTGGAAAACCGTCCTGTTCTTTCTTTAGCTCCCACGAAGTTCATGCAGATACAAGTCTTAAGACAATCCAAGTACACTGCAGATGGAAATGGGATGTACATCCAGAACTACGGGTGAAAACTAAGACCTAGGTGCGGATAGGAAAAGCTTCCTGATTTCTGTCGTCACACATTTGTGTCTTGGAGTAAAGGTTCTTTGGCCTCTCCGGGGGCTTGTGTACTGTGAGGATGGCTGTGAGCACCACAGTGCTTTTTCCAACTGCTGGACCTTAAGCTCAAGTTGATATGTTCCGGAATAAACAAGGCAATGAGCAGAGCCAGCAGTACCAAACAGGCTCCAAAGAGGAATGGGGGCCCAGGGATGATGATGTTCAAAGTGATGCTGGGGCTTGTGTTTGTTCCCAAGTCGGTTCCTGTTATTGGCAGTTCTTTAAGTTCCATGTGGAATATGTAGAAGATGAATCCATAAAGGGCAGGTCCCAGACCATTGCACAACCCTCAAATTCCTGTTATCATTCCTTGAACAACACCTTGTTGATCGGCATCAGCAGTTCGTGAAACAAGTGCACTGACAGCTGGGAAGGTAATGCTAGACATGGCTGCCACTGCCCCAGCAGCCCACATCATCCAAGGCTCTGAACCAAAGCCATACCATGCCAGCTGTAGTATTTGAAATCCCAGACCCAATAAAATGGTGCTTTTATTTCCAATCGACCTCATAGGTAAACTCAAGACTACAGTCTGTGCAATAATGGAAAGAATGCCAAGAACTGCTATAAATGCTGCAACACTTTCTGGTGAAAATTTCATTATCTGTCTGAGGTATAAAAACAAGCTGGAATATTGGCCTGCCTCTGGTAGGTAGGAGAGAAATACCTTGATGCAGATTAGCAGCACTATGTTGTCTTGGCCCACTTTTTTTAAAAATGCAAAGAGGTCAGCCTGCTCCCAGGAGATGGGTGCTCCCCATGATGCAGGACGCATCTTCTCAGGCAACGACTCTGGCACCGCAAAGAGGATGAAGCAAATATCTAGCAAAGCTATTTCTATAGCTAGGACCACCTCTAAGCTGTCTCCAGACACTCGGCCAAGGTAAGCTCCAACTGCAGGACTGGTTACTAAACTCACAGCAAATGTTGCTGAAACCAGTCCATAAGCCATACTTCTTTCATGTTCTTGGGTTATATCTGCTACATATGCAAATACCACAGAGAAAGTCACTGCAAAAACCCCAGAAACAGAGATAACAGCAAAGTACCACCACGGGCTGATCTTAATTAATGGAATTGGGGCACATGTGAAAAACACTGTTAGCAGCAAGAACGATTTTCGGCCCCAAACATCAGAAAGAGCACCAATAAGTGGGGCACTGAGGAATGACAACAAACCCGTTACTCCTTGAATTAATCCATTCATCAGAAATGTATGTTTGGGGAAGGTTTCATGCAATACCACCAAAGCGGGTGCTGTCAATAATCCCCAAGCAAAAAACTCCAAAAAGATGACAATAACCGCATGACAAACACTGGGAGAGCCAATTCCTTGAGGCGTGCCTCCGTCCTTAATGATGATCTTCTTAGCCAGCATGATACTGCGGTTTGCAGCCGTTTTTTCTTCTTCCCCTGGGTCATTTACCATCCTCCATTCCTGGCGTTGCTGCAGCCACTCCCGGGCGGCCGGCCCCAGCGGCGAGTTTCACAGCTGTTTTTAAGAATGAGTTCATCCATATCTATACCTTTGTGGAATGTCCTTAATGGATGAGCAATAAATAGGTAGTTGTGGTAGTTACATAATCTGGTGTCAATTTGGGATTTGAGAGGATTAAAAGTGAAGGGGTGGAGTTTAGTCTGTCAATCAAGTCATAGCCAATGAGACCACTGTGTGGGCATGGCTTTCTCCTGAGAATTCTGGGAACTCTAGTATTTCCTCCTGGGAGGTGGGAGACACCTCTCTCTCTGGGCTCATTCCCTTGGAGACTCTCTACTGACAAGGCTGACTCCCTGCGAGGCATCCCTGAGGAGAAGTCACATACGTCTACCCTGATGCAGCCCTGGGTGCGAAGAAGCCATGTGGAGACCCCTGTGCCAGTGCTGAGATGTTTACAATGCCACTGGATTCACAAGACTTCCCACCCACTGGCCTGTGAACTCCCTGTCATTGCATGTGTTTCATGAGTCAGAAGAGGACTTTATAGATTTGTATCGGACCTATGGGCTAATACTGTAATGATGGACTTGATCTGGACAAGGCTGGAATGTTTTCTCAATATTCAATTGCCCTTGTATATAAACCTCTTTCTTATACACATATGAGTGTCCATGAATTTGTTTCTCTAATCTACCCAGACTAATACAGCAGTTCATGTTTAAAAATGAAACAAAACAAAAATCAACAGTCTATATAAATGTTTGTATTGTCATTTTAAAAACATGCAGAGAGATATCCTGATTCCTGCAGGAGCAGTGGAAATTTCAGGAAAGGGGTAAATATTTAACTGTATTGCTTCCAATGGTCTCACATTACTTGGATACTTTAAAGAATTCTCAGCTATATAAAATTCAAAGATCAGTTATAGAAGTTGAAGATGCACAATAAACACTAGCTGAGACTTGCATTATGCCAAGGAGTTGAATCAAAATACATACATATGCGTGTGTGTGTGTGTGTGTGTGTGTGTTAGACTTATGTGACCTTATTCCAATCTACTGGTTTTTATTTTTTATTATGGGAAACTTCAAATATACAAGAAGTAGGAAGAGGAGGATAACAAGAATAGTATTATAACATCCCAGACATAGCTTCAACAGTTATAACTCATGGCCAATCTTTTCCATCTCTGTCCACCCACTCTCCAATTATTTTGAAGCAAATCTCAGACATAATATGATTTTTATCCACAAATATTTCAGGGCATAATTTTTAAAATAAAGGTTTTTTGTTGTGTTTTAAACACAACCATAAGGTCACAATCATATCTTTAAAACCTAACAACAATATTCAGACACGCTGTTGCTGGCAGAAACCACAGGGATGCGACAGCTTTCCCCTTTAGCCCAGCAAGCCTTCATCCATTCACAGCACTGCAGTTTAGAGCAAACGTCTGGGAAGCCCTTCTTAGAGGCTTGATTCTGTGGCATGAAGCTTTACTGCAAAGCGTTATCCCATTTAATCTTTGTAAGATCTTTGCAGGATTAAGGGAGACATTGCAGACGGAGAGTTGGAGGGGGATTGACTGAGATAGTACATGTAGTCACCACGCATCTGTCCGTCTGTCGTATTGTGCATGTTACTGTGATGCTGGAGGCTGTGCCACAGTCTAGATTTCAAATTCTAGCAGAGACACCCAGAGTAAGCATGTTTCGGTGGGGTTTCCAGACTACGACAGACTAATAAGAAAGGCCTGGTGGTGGTGGTGCTATTAAGTGGCATCAAGTAGGTTCCAACCCATAGGGACCCTATGCACAATAGAATGAAACAGTATCCAGTCCTGGTGAGCTAATTCTAAAAGTTAGCTCATGAAAACTTTAGGGAACACAACAAACTATCACCTGGGATAATGCAGCAAGTTGAGGACCCAAGGATGGAAGGCACTCAAAAGACACAATGGCTGCAACAGTGGACTCAAGACGGTGACGGCAACATTAGTTTCTCTGATGTGGGAGGCTGTCATGAGTTGGAGTCAATCTGATGTCAACAACAACAGGCAAGTCAAGTGCATAAATCCAGGACTTATTATAGACAGAGCACTTCATACACAGTCATCTTTGTATGAGAGAGAGACCCAAGACGACTTCATCCATAGGCTAGGCAGGGTGGGTTCTCTTTTTCGGGGAATTGAAAATAAGATTAGTTAGTTGTGCAGAAATGAAGTGTTCAGTTGTATAGACTAGAGCCAGAGAGTTCTGCATGCTACCCCAAAAGCCCTGCATCAGTCAAGTTGTGAAGAAGCAGAAGCCCAGGGCAAAGCAGAGATACTGGTAAAGGAGGACCAGGCATAGATGTATAAAAAACACAACATCAAATGATCCTAGAGCAAGACTGTTTGAATGAGAGTGTTTGCTTGGCACTCCAGCTTCTTACGCTTGGCTCTCCTTCAATCATATTAACAAGAGTTGACCTACCATCACAACAATCAATTTTAGGACATTTTCTTCTTTCTTGTACTCATTCTTTCTTTATTTATTTTTGAAACTTAATTCAGTTTATTTGGAATAACCTCTAATAAACTCTGTCTCGAAATTAGACCCTCTTTTGCCCCTACCACAGATATAAATGCTGTCATTGGCTTGGGCCACACAGTGGACCAGACAGTGTGAACAGCTACCTAAATTCTTTTCCAGATCACTTTCAGGATTATCACTCTCTGCCTTTTACCAAAGGACTAGACGAGGCAAACTCCTATCCCTCTACTACTTCTGTAACACATACTTAGGTGTGCCATTCTGCTAATTATTTCTTTTCTAAGGAGAGGAACACAGATTTAGGTTCCTCTAAAAGACTTGTGTACTCTTTCTACGCCCTCAACAGTCCACAGGCAATTAGAACCCTTGTTGGTGATCTTTAAATGCTCCCCTGCCCCCAGCCCGAAAAAGACCCATATATTGGACTTTTTCCCGCCTACTTTGGGTCTACAGGAGGCTCCCTCCTTGCCACACTGACTCTCAAAGGTTCCTGACTACTTCCTAGCCAGTCTCAATATTTCTATCAGGAGATTAGTAAGGAAACCAATCACAACACTACAGAGTATTCTTCCTAGAAGGGCCCGCAAAAGAAACATATTTCAAGGCTTATGTGGAGCCAACTCATATTCATTCATGTTGATCCAACATGTATCAAAGTAAGACTGTGCTCCATAGGGTTTTCAATCACAGAAGCTGAATTATATGAAGAAGAATGCTGCGTCGGTATTGAAGGAAGGCTTATTAACACACTATGCAGATGACACAACCTCGTTTGCTGAAAGGGAATAGGACTTAAAACACTTGATGAAGACTCAGGATTGCAGCCGACAGTAAGGGTTACAACTCAATGTAAAGAAAAATCAAATCCTTACAACTAGACCAATAGGTAACAGAGTGATAAAAGGAGAAAATGTTGAAGTTGTCGAGGATTTTGTCTTCCATGGCTCCACAATCAATGCTTGTGGAAGCAGCAGTCAAAAGATCCAAAGACGTGCTATATTTGGCAAACTGCTGCACAAGACCTCTTTAAAGTGTTGAAAAACAAGGATGGTACTTTGAGAACTGAGGTGCCCTGGCCCAAGCGATGGTATTTTCCATTGCTTCACATGAATGTGAAAGCTGACCATCTAATAAGGAAGACCAAAGAAGAATTGACGCATTGGAATTATGGCTCTGGAGAAGAATATTGACCGTACCACGGACTGCTAACTGGACACACTGATCTGTCTCGGAAGAAGTACGGCCAGAGTGCATCTTAGAGGCAAGGATGGCAAGACTTCATCTTACATACTTTGGACATATTGTTAGGCGAGACCAGTCCCTGGAAAAGGACATCATGCTTGGTAACGTGGAGGGGTAGCGAGAAAGAGGAAGGGCCTCAACGAGATGGATTGACATCATGCTGCAATGATGGGCTCAGGCTTAGGAACAACGACAAGAATTGCACAGGACTGGGCAGTGTTTTGTTCTGTTGTATGTAGGGTCATCATTCTTGTACTCATTGTTATTAGTTCCCCATTTCCATCCAACCTTCCAACCACAGCGTTAAGAAACCATGAAACTGGTTACTGTTTCTATGGATTTGCCTAGTCTAGATTTCATTGATCCAGCCACTGGTCAATCCATCTCGTCCAGGGCCTTCCTCTTTTTTTGCCACCTCTTCACTTTACCAAACATGATGTCTTTCTCCAGGGACTGGTATCTCCTGACCATATGCCCAAAGTATGTAAGACAAAGTCTTGCCATCCTTGCCTCTAAGGAACCCTGGCCTTCTTCCAGTACAGATTAGGTTGTCCTTTTCACAGTCCATGGTAGTTTCAATATTCTTCTCCAGCACCACAATTCAAATGCATCTAATTCTTCTATGGTCTTCCTCATTCAATGCATATGATGCAATGGAGAGTACCATGGCTTAGTCCTCAAGGAAACATCCTTGCTCTTCCACATTCGAAAGTCTTGTGCAGCAGATTTACCTAATACAACACATCTCTTGATATCTTGGCTGATCTCTTGCTCTTCTAGGAGCATTGATCATAGCTCCAACTAAGACTAAATCTTTGACAACTTCAACTTTTTCTCCAATTATCATGATGTTACCTATTGCTTCAGTTGTGAGGACTTTGGTCTTCCTTACATTGAGTTGTAATCCACACTGAAGGCTACAATCCTTGATCTTCATCAGCAAGTGCTTCAATTCCTCCTCACTTTGAGCAAGCAAGCTTAACCTAACACTATCTGCCAGAATCGACTTTACAATACTATCTGTTAACAAGGCTATTCACTTCCCTCAGCTATGGGCAGAAGAGATTCACTATAGTCTTAGTCCATGTGTGGACCCTGAAAATGATTTGGGGCCAAGCATTAGGGCTTCTGCAAACTAAGTGTTCACATGAAACTAGGGGTTCACAATTTAAGTTCCAATATCATTTCCTCCTTCAAATTTGAACTTTAGTATATAAAAT